TTGCTTTCTTTTTCAACGGTGTCACACTGTTGACTTGTGGTCCACTATGACCCCTAGGTCCCTTTCTGCAGTATTCCTTCCTAGATAGTCACTTCCCATTCAGCCAGTGTAAAACTGATTGAAGTAAATAAGCATATAGCATTTTTAAGTTAAACTTTAAGCAATGAGTAAAACAAACCAAATGTGATTGTTGCACATTCCATGACTTTTACATGTGAATGAACATTAAAACCTAGATTTAGCCAATAAAACAAAGGAAGTGTTTGTTGCCCTGCCATGAGCTAGGGGTTGGACTCACTGACTGCTTGTTTTAAAGGGTCAGCATGAACCTAGGCCTGAGCCCTTCTGAACTGTGCATTGCTACCTGCCCTGAGCTAGGGCCTGGGCTTACTGACTGTTTGCCCAGCCTGACGATAGGCCTGAGCCCCTGAACTATTGCTGCAGCTGATTCCCTACGTGTGATTGCTCCAGGTATGTTGTGAGGTGGTGCGGCCTCCCTGAGGCCTGGTGAGTGAAGTCCTGCTCACAAGCGGACTATAATGGGTTACTGATTGTTGTAATAAGTATCAAGCATCTCTGTTGGGTCCATGATTTTTAGAGTATAGCAAAGTTATGACTATGCTGCCAGGCTCATCTTTTGAAAGTGTCGTGCAGGTTTCTTTTAACAATGAAAACTGACAGGTCAGATATAGAGTGACCATATTGTGAACATGCCTGCTTCTCATGCCAATATTAATCAGTCCTGTAAAAAACATTACCTTGCCTCTCTAATATGAGGACTAACACTACAATCACACTGCATACAGGATAAGGGGCAGGCATGATAGCCCAAGTGTGGCCACGGAAATGGCACTGATTCTCTCTAATTCAGAGTGGACTGTGCGATGGATCTGTCCAGGACAGATTACTTGATGGCCAAGCAGCCAGTAACAGATCACAGAAGTGTGACTGCCCAAAGACAGCATGAGGAAGAGCGAGAGAGAACCTATGCTTAGACTAGACTACTAACAAATACATAATTCTCAAAACACATCGACTCCAGC